AATCCTGACAGTAGTGCCTTTGACTTTGGTCCGTTTACTGGTCTTTTTAGTGTTTCCGTAACGAAAATGAAGTGCCACTGCCACGTAAAGACGATTATATGTACAACTATGTGATGGCCCTTTTCAAAAAGCAGCAAAACCCCACGTAAGTATCGTTTCTTTTAGGACCAAGAACATTGCTTTTTAACGATCGTTTTGTCACCATTCAGGCGGAAATCTTCTTACCGTAGGCTGAAAGCATATATTATACTTTAAGATATCACAAATCACAAATTCATTCTCTTGATTTTTCCCGGAATGTTCCGGCAAAATGTTTCCGCAATTTTTCGGCCTCTATTTTTCGCTGTGCTGAACAATTTCACACTTTCCTCCTACCCTTTTTTGCTCTTAGAATTTAGATATGTTTGTTATAAGCGGTGTCATTTGCGTTGATAAAAAATTTCTGGCATCATACTGCCTATGCTAAAGGCCTTTTTTCCTTCATCAGACTCGATGTCAATTCGCACTCATCTTTGATTGGTTTGCTAACCAAGACCATTAAGAGAAAGTTATATAAATCTGGTATGCCTTGCCTTCTTATTTGCCTTTAAAGTATTCTAATAATAATGACGATGATAATACTATTTACTGTTAGTTTGACAATAGCGTGAAAATTAATAAACATTAACATGAAGCAATTTCCAGCAATTTTCTGCATTAATATTTGTCAAAATCACGGTTTTGTTATTATTTCTATATTTATTTTTTAATCTCCATATATGAAATTTGATACCTTGGAATTCCGTCTGTAATAGTTCAATCATTGAATAATAGATCAATCATTTTTTGTATATCAGTTACCAAATTAATGATGCTTTGTCTACAAACTCAGAGCGTTTTAACATTTGTACCAAATTTAAACAACATTTGCAAATTATTTTATTATTTTATATTATATTATAATTATTTTAGAATCCTCTCATTACATTTTTGCAAAATATCTGTTGTGGCATAATTGCATATATGTTGTTACATTGTTGCCTAATTTTTGTCTGTGATTACCTAAGTAGCACAAGCTGTGTGATTTTCTTTACATTACGTATCAACATTGTACATGGAAGGAATGAATGATTCTCATCACCAACGTTGATGAATTTAAAAATAGTCAAATCCTTGAAGTCCTCAATTTTCAGGCTTGAAAATGGCGGTGTTCAAACTTTTTGCAGTTGATTTTCTCTTCTGATTTTCGTTTCTTACCAAAATGTCTTCTTAGCTTCATTCTAAATTGACGTTCGCCATTTTTTTTACATTTAGAATTTAAGTTTTCAACAAGAGTTGTATGTACGTTTATGGTGTCTTCTGTTGCTGTGTACATGGTAGGGTTTATGTGCTTATGTGCTATGTATTTCTGTTAATGGCACTATGTCCCGACGAATTTCGATGCCCTTTTAGATTCCCTTTGGTTGGAATATAAATAGGCTATTGTTACGTATTCCAGTTGGCAACGCAAGGGTAATCCTCGATGTTTTCTCAATTAAAATGGTCCTGTATTCACCACTATGTTTTATCCGTCATAAATCCTATTTTCATTATTTTAGTGGTCAGCTTTTGGCAAAAATAGTTTTTCTTTTCGCCTACCCCCTCTGTTAAGTTTGAATTTTCTTAGGGGCTCAGTTGATTGCAAACACAAAGCACCCTTGCTTCTACTGATAGTTCGAAATTCTTTCTGCAAAAGTTCAGCACGTTTTCTTTTTATTTGTAGTTTATAACAAATAAGTTGCGTAAATTTATTTGTGAGTTTCTCTATTCTAAGGCTTCTTATTATAGTATGTGGTTAGATAAGACTTGGTTTGAGAAGCTATTTCTCTAAATTTTTTGGGTTTATAGATGATCCTATATGTAAAAAATAATTCTATCAATTATTGGCCAGATCAATCCTAATTGGCCAGAAATTTTGGCTGGAAGTTAACATTTGGATGTTTTTGAAAAGTATTGACAAGATTTCTCTCGGTGCTTCCCTGGTTCTTAAGTCCATGGCCATGACAATATTGTAAAACCTTTCAGTTTATTGCAATCCTTTCTTCAATGAAATCGTTAACACTGTTTATGTTAATCCTTGCTTGGTAGTTAAAATGTGCACAATTTTTCAGCTCACAGTTAATCTTCTTGGAATTGCTTCGATATTACTGGAAACAAAACTCGAGCCGTGGATCGATTCAAGCAACCTCAATCGAACTTTTGGTCAATCCTTTGTCATTGAAGCTCGCAAGCAAGTTAGAATATGGACATGTACGTGTTTCAGTTAATACCTAGCCCCCGCATCCATGAATATTTTTGTATATTCTATCTTCGCGTGGTCATAAACGGACCAGCTCCAAAAATAATATGATTACGTATTTGAAGTAACCAAACTAGGGGTTCGAAAGTACACTCATAATTTACGAAGAATGATTTGAAATGAAATGTAACATCTTATGTTTTCTTGTAGTTTGTTGCTATGTTTCAATCATGGTGTCGACAATAAAGACATACATTGTTTTTTTAAACATGCTTAGCTGGTACAGGTCGGTTGGCATCTCGTTTTTATCAATACTCCTCTTTTTACGCACAATAAAAGTCTATCTACTTTCTTCTTTTGCAGATTTCCTCTCAAAAATTCAAATGTAATTTCCAAATGGTTACCAGGTTATAACATGTGAACCCTTTTCTAAATAGCTGCAACGATCAAAAACCGTGATCTATCAATTTCTATTTTTCGTCTCTTCATTCCCCCTAAATTCTCTTTTGTTATCTCTCCTCCCTTCCTTCCTTTGATAATACTTGATTTTGTCAGAGTTAGTTGAGGAAATATCAAAAGTTTTAACATATAAAAAATTAAACATGTGAAATGAACGCCCCCTTGTATTGGAAACGTATCTGAAACATCAAGTCAAATTAGTTAATTTGCTTATGCTATTCATAAAAAATTTAATATTTTCCTTTAGGCGTCATCTGATGAAGCTTCATGTTGGCGATCGGTCTTGGCTGCCAGAGTCAATTAAAAGGCTAAATGACTCACCAGCAAGTCTCACGGTTGGTCTTTATTGAAGTGTATTTATCAGTTCATGATAAAACCCACCTGCTTATATGTTAGCTATATTTCCCTGCAGGCTCTGATTTTTTAATGCAAGATGCCCGTAACTTGAGGAAAACAGCTTCTACCTAACAAGGTTGCCTGTCATTGGCTGCAAGGGAGAAATAGATTGACACATCTTTGAACCAGTGCTAAGTTTATGTTATGAGATAGAAGATATTTAAGTATGAATAGTTTCAAGCGAACGACAAGATATTGGGATGGCTCTGTCCGCAAAACTAACCTCTGTAATTATAATGGTATAGTTTTCTCCGTTTATGACCTTTTTGTTAGTCATATTTAAAATATCTTTTGGTTTATTTATTTCTAAATTGCCATCGAATTCTATATATTCATATATATCTATGTAAAGCTAGAGAAAAGTTGAATTACCAATTAGATGTCAAGCAAACCAAACGAAACGATCAAAATATGTTCTAGATATTTCATTCATGAATTTCCGTGGCCCACTTAAACATTGGGTACCTACTTTTAGCTTAAATGTTGTAGGGCATAATACTAATCTTGTCAAGGTTATGACATAATCAGGCTACACAAAATTGATTTTCAGCAACGTAATTCTTCTGACAACCACCGGCGTAACTTCACGGTCAGTTTCCAAGAACGAATTCTCGGACAGTTACACCGTTTCCTAACTGTCGTCCCAAGAATTCGCCGTAGAGTTTTATTTATGTAGGCTTTCCTTCAAAGTATTTATCAACTTTTGTCAATAGCACAAGTGGCTACTCCTAGCAAGTTTTAATTGGAAACGTTTTCATGTTTTTTACAGGATGCAAGTATGAAATATGCTGGTTATCAAGTTGCCTACGTTGCTTGGGGTAAAGCAGTTTCAACTATTTTACACTTCACTGCAGGGCCTAGAATTAGCCTATCTTTCAACAACTTTAATGACAATTTTTATTTTATAAGGCAAAAAGACAAACAGTCGCATTTACTGTGATCTGCAGAACACTTTAATGGGACTTCACCAGCAGTATAGTTTATATATCCAATCTTTTCCGAACTCGAATTGAGGACTACTCCATAGAACACGTTAAAGAAATATTGGTTCTATTGATGTATTTCTAAGTGGTTGTCAATCTGAACAAGTAGAACTAGGAACAAGTCTAGCTTAACAACATTGATAACATGGCACTGTCTGCCTCTGTGTTTCCCAATATCTGCTTATTGATCGTCAATTGATAACTGTTTTGAACAATAGTTATAAGTACCCAGGGAAAATTTGTAACAAAGAAGAATCCCCATGGTGGTGTCATTGCCTGTTAATTGATTCAATTTTTAAACTAAACTGCCTGCAATATTTGGCAACAGAATGCCTATTGTCGATTTTTTTAAAATAAGTTTTCCTTATCAGGTTACTGGATATTTTCAATCGTTTTTTGGCTTCTTCTTGGATTGACATCTTCGCTAATTTTCTATCCACTGTTTCATGGAACATCTTCAGTCCTGATACAAGCATTCTACAAAGTATGGTGTGTATGAAACACAAATTTAACATTTCCTTATTATTAGAATTTAGTGACGCAAAGTTTATTATTTTGATTAGAAAGCTGCTTTTATTCATATTGAATATGTATTTATCGACGTGTATTTCTGTAGCACCTCAAGATATCTTTTATAGCATTGGCTCCAAGAAGAATGTACTGTTTGTTTGTCACTAACCATTTTGATGAACTTTACAATAATCGTTGTTATAATGCTATCATCGTTTTTTGCAGGCCTGCATTGCTTATTACAGTTTGCATTTTCCTTGCGGAAAGGATCACGGCAAGATACTGTTTTCTGTTCAAAAAGGGTAAAATCATAGCAATAACAAACAGGTATTCAATTTACATGTTTGAACCGTTTGATTTACATTTATTATGTTTCAACGATGATACCTAACTGAAGCCACGTTTTGAAATATTTCATTAGCATCTTACAAAGTTTACAGCGCGATGCTAATAATAAATATAAAAAAATTATTTTACAACGATATCCCTCTCTTTAAAAAAGTTCAACTTGAAAAATTCTGAAATTAAGATTATAAAAACAAGAATAATCTTAAATTTAGTAATTTAATAAACCCGAATTTCCATCAAACCAATTATTAGTAATTTAATTCGTAATCAAATAAACCAGATAAAGATATATTACATACATTACACAGCAACCTATCATCGAGCTAGAACTACATTTAAATATGAAAATTTAATAGCATGTAAAATTTTGCTTTTTTGCTTTGTAGGAAAGTGTTTAATATCGTGTCGTATTACTTGTTCTTCTTCAACATATTTCTCGGCTTCCTGTCATGCTTGCTCCGCATTTTGAAAAGTGTTGTTGTTGGAGTAATGTTCCTTGAAAGGGTCCAGAAAAGTATACTTCCAAGTTCCTTTGAAGTTATCGATCCAGGTACCCCACACTTAGCTAATACAAACTTTATTATCTCGTTTCTTTTAAAAACACGATGCATGCAGTGAAATCAGTTGTTATGCATTTTGGTGGCAGTTTCTTACATCTAGGCCACTGTAGTAAAATTTTCTTGACACTGCCCTACCTATGTCAGATATCACAGTTTTTTTGAGATATTTGAAAGTACAAGGCAATTAAATCACGAGAATTAAAATAGGCAGGCTTATTTAGGGTCTTGAAATTCTTATTACACACTGAAATAGCAGAAACAAATAGCGTTATAACATTAGCCACACCCTTCAGATCACTGGAAAAATGATGGAAACGCCCATTTTTAGAATTCAGTTTTTAACTTTGAGATAAAGAAGATAAATAAAGTAAAATCTTGACGTTATTTTGTTACTACTGATTACTAAAAAACGATTTATCAAAGGACAGAGAAATATTGGGGGGAATGTCGCACTCCCTACACCCCCTCCGCTAAATCTGTCCCTGCTTATAGCTAAGTTAGAGCATAGAATGCCGTTCTGTTGCCTGTCTTCTGTATTTCACTATAGAAAGCACTTTTCAGTCTGGGTGTTATCCTTAAAAAGTGGTTTGTGGGACAATTTTTGCAAAATGCTAAACCAATCCATCATGATGTGATGTTTTCTTTCCTAGGTTATTATGCCTATATAGGCTGCATACACATTGAGCATACACTTGCCAACCCTGTTTTGAGAGTATTCTTGGATATTTTGAATGAATCGGTTGACTGCAAGACGTCATCCAATGCAGGTAGGATGAAGCTAGTACTTTTAAGTTTGTGACATAGGGCTGGTCTACCAGCTACTGAGATGTTCTTGTTGCACTAGCTGCCCTTAACCGAATGTTTTTAGAAGTTATGAACGGGTTTGATTCGTCCTTCACTCGGTCACAATTGAAACATTTACAGTATAGGTATCGTTTGTTAAAAATCGTCCTTTTTTACACTCTATTCTCTATTCTGCTTATTTCAGAAAATATCGGAAATTTTCGCTCCAACAGCAGCCAGTCATTATTAGGGGACAATGAATGTGGCATTGCATTGGAGACAGAAAGGTATCGGATTATACGGAACAAATGGAATCTTGCATACACCTTGATAAAAAATCCGTCGTTGCTACAGTTCAGAAAAAACAAAACGAATAAGCGACCCAGTGTCGAGTCAGAGTACAGAGGCTCGGTGTCTTGTTGAGTGCAAGCACAAATAGACAGTGCAGTTTATTGCTAGTTGCTGAGGTTTCCTCGGAAGTGCAGAAAGTTACTCGGAAGGGTAGAAGTTATCATGCATTGAATGGGAGGAGGGACATGTTACATTAATATCCGATGAAGAATGAATTTCATTTCTGAGTTTTTTTACCTTGACTAAATAATGTTTTGTTTACTGGCTGTGATGTAAATAATGAGCATAATTAGGATGAGCGATCACTCCAAATGAACTTTAGTAAATGCTGCAACATAGTGTATTGACGTGCGGGTGTTGGCAACCAAGAACCGTGTCAAAAATCGTTATTCTCTTCACATTTACTGTATCAAAATCACAAACAAATTATAGGGTCCGAATTTAATCCAAGGGTATATGCTTATGGCGTCTACAATCAGCCATCCTATTACAGGCTTATATCAAGTATACATTTTTTTATCACATATCTGTAATTGATTGTACATGATGTATTTTTAAACGGAGAAATTTATTTTTATTTGTTTTAAAAAGAAGAGCTATAGAAATTTTTATACGTATGTGATATATGTTGTGATAAATGATTTTATTGTTGATTTTAGTATTCCGAAATAGAGCATTAGATGTTGCCCTTTTTTGTTGGCCTTACTCGTAAATTTTCATATATGATTCTTTTTCATATGCAAGAAGCTGCCAATAAAATTAATCTGTTTTTTTGTTTCGTTGGCATTCGTTGGTAGCTCTAGTTTGTGGAAAGAAAAATCAACAACATCGTTGACACATTGGCCCCATTATTGATAATTCTGACTTTAGGAGTGTCAAAAGGGTTCTGTTAAATTTGTTACAAAATAGCCCTCTATCAAAATAGAATAAGCCTAGTTATAGACTTCATGTACCAAAATCATAACTGATTGGATATATATGGTAGTTTCTGTGGAATAAGCTAGTAATACTTTGTATGAAGATGAACATTCCGAGTAGGCTAGATGCACTCTTGCTAACATTCTCTAGCTTAAGTGGCTTTATTGTCACTTAAGTTCCATAATAATGGACAATAATTGAAATTGCATAGGATATGTATTGAATTGCACTCAATACGTTACCACAAGATGCTTCAGTTCTCCAACAAAGAAACCCCCTGATAGATCCAAACAACATGGCTTCCTTGAGTTTGAGAACAACGAAAAATTTCGATGTTGTTTTTTAAGTCTACTAAACTGCGTCGGAAATTCTCAAACCGTCGTCGAAAATGACCCAGAAACAAGAAAGTGTACCTAAATATGAGGGACGATTTCCATAGTAATAAAAGGGTAAAGCCCCCAAAGAAGAAATGAGTTTTTGGGTCCTTCTTAATAAAAATTAATCAGTTCCACATCTGTATTACAGGGCAAGAATGATTTTCACTATTCGTGCCAAGGCTCCATTATAAATCTGGAATGGTAGGTCAATAGTTGGTTTTTACCAATTTTTTCCTTTTTTTCTTAACTGAAACTTTAAGCCACGGTGCATTTCCTGTATACCTCACCCCGTAAGTATGCTAAGGATAGGCCAGGTATATACCAAGGTTCCTGTGCGATCATTACGCCGGCTGTCCTTATTCATTACCTAGGTGTAAAGTTGAATAAATTTTCCTTTTTGGACATGTTTAAGTTTTTTATTTCTACAGATGGTCTAGGGTCTCAACTTGGGCTCACAACCTACACAGTTTCTTGTTTAATCTGCAATAGAGTAAAATATAAGAGGACTTGGCTATCCTTTCTCAAATCTCTCGAATTTTTCCTCTTTGGTAGTCATTTTCTCGGTGGAACAAGATCTGCTGTCCTAGACTATCATTTACAAGGGTAGGCTTTTACTAGGCGGCTGTGACCGGATATTTATATCGTGTGTTACCCGCTTTTCTTGGCCCACTCAAGCAGATGCGCCGAAAGCTTCATGATACGGCGGGGGCAAGAACTACAGAAAGGGCACCCTGGGGGTGTCAAAGTTTGCTGCTGAAACAATTCGGGTATCTTCGTGTAGCCTGTGACGAACCCTGGTTTTAGGTGAAGGCCTTGTCTATGGCACAAATGTCCCACCACGCAGTACGCTAAAAGCATCAAATATGAATACCACGCAGTACGCTAAAAGCTGCCCGGTGTTGCCCCGATGATGCCCCGGTGCTGCCCCGGTGCCACCCTGATGCTACCCCGGTGCTGCCCCGATTATGCCCCGGTGCTGCTCCGGTGCTGCCTCGGTGCTGCCCCGGTGCTGCCCCGATGATGCCCCGATGCTGCCCCGGTGCTACCCTGATGCTACCCCGGTGCTGCCTCGGTGCTGCCCCGGTGCCGGAACACTTTTTATGAGCATTTTCCGTAAAACGTGGAATATTTGCGGCATAGTTTATCCTTTTTTTATTTTCATCGCACTATGAAGCGTTAAAAAATTCTGCAAACTGCGCATTGAAGAAATCCTTCAGGTTGCTTGCGTCTTGTCATTTCGAAGGATGAGAATGTTAATTAAGGCACATGGAGGCACGATATGACTTAGGAAAGCCAGCCCTCTTTCCAGCACTATCAAATCGATTACATGACGAAAACACAGCGTTTTTGGCAAGCTCGCTTTCGAGCAAGCGGGATCTCGGCTACAAGGATCGGGATCTACAGCTCTCTACTGCTCTCTCTAATTTAGTGTGCAGTATTACACACTTTATGCAGTCTTATTCTAAAAACGTGCAGTATTGATTTCGAAAATGTGCAGTATTGATTTTTGGGATTTGTGAAAATGTCTTTTTGCGGCTATCCCAGATTCCTGCTTTGTTCACAAAATGTGAATTATCCTCGTCACTTGGACATAGAGTTCATGTATTGTAATTATCGTATAACCATCGGAAAGACTCTCTTATCAAAACTTAAAACAAATTAAAATGGCCAGAAATTTCCAAAAATTGCAACAGCAAAATTTCCTATAAAAAATGTACTTATAAATGTGCAGTATTAAATAGGCCCTGGTCCTCTACATGTAAGCGAAATCTCAAATCTGAATATGTTTCTTATCAATACCGAGGTCTCGGCAAAAAGTACCCCAGGAGTAGGGGAGGGCCACCCCTTTTCATGAAATCAGCTCTTAAGCGACCTCACAAGAGATGAAGATTTTCAATATTAACAACAATGTTTAGCCACTCAATGCATAAATTTCTTAACACATTTGTACAAAGATGTGATTTAGTTACTTTTTCTTTGTTTGTTTACAGAAACTGCTATGAAATATCTATGCCAAACTCTAGAAAAAGCCGAAAATAGGTCACAATTCAATGCTTGGATATTAGTAACAGAATCTAAATATTAATTTTTAATAATTATAACCAATTTTTGATTTTATATAATCATTGATATTTTTAAACTATTTCAAAACCACACTCAGGGGCGGTCTGGCGTCAAAATCGCAGGGTGGCTAGAAAACCCAAAGGCCCGGCTTAGGGGGTGGCGGGAAAAATTGAGCCACACCCACTAAAAGTGTGGCTTAAAATACCATCGATTCAATAAAAATTGATAATAAAGCAATACGCTAAACAGCAGCAGTATATCGACTTTAATTCGTAAATTCGGACCCAATTGGATTCATACCTTTCCTTTCGTGTAAACAGGCTTTAAAATCCCATGTAGAGTTAAGAATCAAGATCAAAACTTATTTAAATTCTCAGAGTTTCAACTCTTTTCGAAAAAGTGCAAATTAATCAGCAAATTGGATAATGACTTGCTCGTAATCAAGTGGAAAGTTTTCTCTTCTTTTGAAATTATTTGACGACAAGATTGAATATTCACCAAAAAGCAACCACAAATGGCTAACAATTCTCGTTTTGGGATAAAATGTTGTTCAAAAATGCATTAAACAGTAACTTAGCCTTAGCTTGTTCCTAATTTGATCTCAACTTTTGACTAGTTTTGATGCTCATATTCTTATAAAATTGTTATAAATGATAAAAGATATAAATATGTAAAAAAAATAAAAATGAGCGTCGGTACAAAGTTTTGAATGCGCAGGGTATGCACAGTTGGCAAGCTTTTACCCTTTTGATAAAGGGTGTCGATGTCGACTTTGGGCTCCTTTCTCTCTTTGTGAATTCCCACCTTGAAAGTCACAGTTTTCCTCTCCATATGTTTCTTCTCTAAGAGCTTGTTCCTTGAGATCATCTGTTTTCAGGATCTCTATTTCTACCAGTTGTTGTTTTCACTTGATCGATAAGCTGCTGGAAGCAATTTGCAAATGCCAGCAATTCTGACATTCTATGAACTTTAAATCTTGAAATCTTCCTCTTTGTGTCAACAAATCTTCTTAGCATTGTTAAATCCTGATACAGATCTCTGTAACCAGATGATAGTGACGACCCCTTGTCATCTCTCTTTATTTACTGAAGCCCCCTCCCAATAATTGCAGCCTAAGCCTTATGTCCTGTATAACAGTGTACTAAGTGGAAATAAATACAATGAGCAGCCACCCCCCCTCCCAATATGAATTTTGTTCACAGCACTGTCTCTGACAGTCAGATACCCTGGGCATCAGAGCCACATAAATTAGAGAGCGGAAATAGAAGATAAGAGTACGCTCATTCGCTTCTTTGCTTGGCATTCTGTTTACGCGCTCGAAATTTTGTGGCTCTGAGACCCAGGGTACACGAAAGATTGAACACATGGCTGAAATAACGGAAACCAGGGTTTGGGTGGTTTGAACCGCATGTATTGGGACTTTAATCGCAATATAATCAGTCTAGGGCATTAAGTATTTGACATTAAGTTAAAAAATTTTCGCCAACGCGGAAAGGCCCTGGCGTAGGCCAGCGGAGTGGTGAGTCGTAGCCATAGAAATATGGTTGTAACTCATGCGGATATGTCAAGTAATAATAAACCGGTATGTCGATCAAAAGCCTTATGGAAATAGTGCAGATAAGTATAAATCGTCAACAAAGGTGTCTTCATCGTCTCTGTCTTGAGAATCATGAAAGAGAGAAAATCCTCACAACAAGGGTTTCAGATGACCCAGCTTTTGAAAGGTCGCTTAGGAGCTGATTTCATGAAGAGGGTTGGCCCCCCCTTCTCCTGGGGTACTTTTTGCCGAGACCTCGGTAGTGATAAGAAACATATTCAGATTTGAGATTTCGCTTACATGTAGAGGACCAGGGCCTATTTAATACTGCACATTTATAATTACATTTTTTATAGGAAATTTTGTTTTTGCAATTTTTGGAAATTTCTGGGCATTTCGTTTTGTTTTAAGTTTTGATAAGATAGTCTTTCCGATGGTCATACGAGATTTACAATACATGGCCTCTATATCGAACTGACGGGGAAAATTCACATTTTGTGAACAAAGCAGGAATCTTGGATAGCAGCAAATCATAAATGCACATTTTAAAAATCAATACTGTACGTTTTTAAATTAATACTGAACAAAGTGTGTAATACTGCACACTAAAATAGGCCCTGGAAAGAGCATTATCATTCAAGAAAGGAACATGCACAAATTACATATCAAAATATAGGCAACATTGGAAAAATCCTCTTCCCCTTGAATTATCATCTAATTTGCATCATTTATTGATCATTATGACCGTACAAATTTGTGTGAACCCCCTCCCTCCATCCTTGA